CATTGTTAAGAAACCTTTGATAATCATGCCTTTAGAGCATAGTCATAGGTGATATTCATAGAGTATCATTAAGAATTTTTTAGTATTATTTATAATGTTTGTTTAATGTTTTTTTTTTCTTGTTTTTTGGCAAACGCGACCAATCAGGAGATACCACATCAAATGATAATGATACTGTATCAAAAGTATCACTGGACTGATACTGATCAGGTCCATTCTAATTGTTTTGTCTATATAAAAATAATTTATGGGCTTGAGATATTTTACAAATATCACCTAGGTACATGGTCTTAAGACAAGGCTATAGTGTTTTAACAAAAAAAAAATGGTATAGTGGTAATATTTTAATAGGCATAAATCAATGAGCTTGTAGAGGGAATATTGTGTACATAAGATACTCGGGTTATGTTTGGTGAACTGGGGCCGTGTTTTATATCCTCCTTCCCCACGGGAAAACGTTTGCAGATGCGATCATGAATCGAACCAGATCGAAACATTCAGCTGTCGACGGACAAACCTTTGCCGAAACGTCGACCGCAAACGAAGGATGGCCAGGCCCCGGTTCCCAGGGTTATAGTATTCCCTATTCCTCGCCTACTCAAATCAGAACTAGTTGATTCTCTTTCGCCTATCGGCCGGCCGGCTTGTTGCAACCTTCGCATTTCCTGCTGAGATCCCAAGTCTCCAAGTGGGCCCTCTTGGCCACCCGCGACCTTGGCTTTTTAAAGAATCCCGCTCCTAAGTCGTGGAACTTGTAGCTCGGCAGTCCCCCGGGTGGGTTTGTTTATCCTTCCAGTTTCGAGTGTCTTCTTGGATAGTTATAACGGCCCATAGACGCGAGATGTACCTTGTGGGGGGGGGGGCGGCGGTCCCCTGGACATAGTCGTTTCAGGCAGTGGCCGTTTAGTCCATGGTCCATTAGATGGGAGGTGCAAGGCCAGAAAATTGAACACATTGATTCCGCCATAATGCGTAACAATGTGGCGGTCTCCTCTTTTGATGCAAAGATTTACAAATTGTTTTTCAACTCTTTATTTCTCCATTACACAAAGAACCACTATCGCTTTTGATCAAAAAAAAAAAAAAAAAAAAACAAAGAACCACTATCGCTATATACACTACATATGTATGGTTGGATTTGTCAACGACCTAGATAAAATTTACATCTAAACGAAGATGTACGATCATGAAAAAACGTTAGTATGCTGATTTAAAAAAAAAAAAAACGTAGATGTAATAACTTATGAACGACCGTCGCTATGGTACGTATTACGTAATAACTCTGTCCTCTTTCTCTGTAGGCCGGAGTTTAAATAGTAAAAATAAATATCCATATGAATATGATTGTAAAATCAATATAAACTGGAACTATGGACCCTATTTCAAAACATTATAAATTTTGGACTTTTGTTCTCCTTCATACAGACATGTACACTGTGCCACTGTCACTTCATATTTTTCATTTTGGAAGATATATCAAAGATATAAATATTGTAGTATTGTGTTTTATTCAAAGTCATATCATTGAATTATTTTGTATGTGTTATGTTTTGGATATTTTTCTATAGATAAGTAACTATATAACAATTTCATTGGACCGATTGTTGGTGTGAAGTATAATCCAAAGCCCTTCAAATCAACCGATTAATGAATAATTCCAAGTCATACAGTTACGTATTTTCCAACGCTAGACATAATAAATTTCCCCAAGCACAGTATAAACAGTTGAATTGATGCTATGTATTAGTATTACTTATCAGTTATCACTATTTAATTATTAAATCAGGTGGTTTATAACCAGAGCCGTCCCTGTGTAATTGGTGGCCACAAGCATCAAAACTTTTTTGGCCAAATATGGGTATCGATGACCTAAAAAAAAAAGAAAAAAAGATTTCCCCCTTGTAAGAATCGAACCTTTGACCTCATTCACTCAAACATCACACATTTACCAGCAGAACTAACGAAGATATTACTTAAGATATGGCCGATTTAACCGCAAGTCTGAGCTTTGATTGCTTGTAGTCAAGGCCGACTCTGTTTATAACATGTACTTTTAAATATTGAAAAATAACAACGATTGACATAATTTAGTAATTTACTATGCTGCAACTTTTAATTCATGGGATGAATTATTTAGAAGACCAATATTGGCTGATATCTTTTATTTATTCATCGACTCACTATTTAATAGTACTATTTACAAATAAACATAGATATTGAAACATGCTGCCCCCCACACGCGTCCTCTTCTGGTTATATCGTTATGGTTACATTTTCACAAATTTCAATATGGATATTGATCATATAAAAAAAAAAAAAAAACTAGAATTGACTAGTATATAAAATCATTTCAACTATCAAAGATTTTTAAATATAATAATCTAATATGTTTATAATAAAATTATTTATTTAAATTTTAACTAATTAAAAAAAAATTAACCTATCAAATGAGGTTAAGTGTTAGAGACAATTTCTCGCAGTTTCTCATTCTCTCTTTTACTTTTAATTAATTTTTTTTTATTCTTTAAATACCCTATAAGAAACCATCGTTAAAAATGATCTAATATATTGATTACATGTAGTAATAGATGACTGATTCGCTCTATTGTCTTTTTTTTTTTTATAAAGGTAATTCGCTCTAATGTAGCTTAGTAATGCTAGCTATTTTGGGATAACTATATGTTATGAAGAAAGCATATACTTAATATCATCATCAATGTCCAAATATTAATTTTTTTTTATAATTCCAAATTTTATTCACGTCACTATGTATATGATGTGCCAATATAAACTTATTTATGAGCACTAAGAACACCAAGTGGCAATATCTAAGTATTTAAGTACTATTGTGTTTAAAATTAAAAACTGATCGGATTTATGGCAGTTTTTCGTCAATGTTTATAAGAATTTTAAGTCCAATTGGTTAGGGTTGTAGACTTGTAAGTATTATAACTTTTTTTTTTATTGTGGAGAAAACCTGTAGAATCTAAAGATTTCAAATTTCATATTGACAAAGAGCAAATTATGAAAGAAAAAAATATGCTTGTAGAACCAAGTAACCAACCGACATATTTTATTTTTGGATTAATTCATATTTATACGACTAAGCAACGCAAATAGAATTTTATAAAAGTGTTAAACTGATATTAAACATTATATATTATATCCCCTGTTCTAAAAATCGGTCGTCTAAGCGCTGATCGGATGGAAACCGCGGTAATTTTGTCCGAATTGGTAAAAAAAATCGGATCACCGATTTTGTCCGCATATACCGCCTAGCCCGCCTAGACGGCGCTTAGCCTAATTATATATATATATATATATATATATATATTTGGATTTAAAATTCAAAACGTCTCACTTCTATAAATTTTAAATTCAATAAAATTCATAAATTTGACCTTAAATTCTTGTTTTCATGGGTTTAATGCAATTTTAAAAACAATATTATATAAATTTTTTATTTATAATAGATTATTATGTTTTTATAATATTAAATAGCCTTAAAACTAGTTTCCGATTAATCTCCGTTTCATCTTCGATTTTGTTGCTAAGCACTACGTCCACCCTCACCGCTCGATTAACGTCTAACAATTTTTTAAACATAGATTATATTTAGTAATAAGACACAAACCCGAAAAAAGGAAATCAAAACATGAGAACAAGTTGACGATAACGAGATATGAAAATTTGGTAAAACGTACCAATCTCTATTATCGTGCAAAGGTATTGATGTTTGGATTGGCATCAAATAGATCCCAACTTGCTCTTCACTGTTTCTATAGAAAAATATAGTACCAAATCGACCCACCAAACTAATTATCATCAAATCGAGCTAGGCTTTAGAATATTACCAAATAAGTATAATAAGCGACTTAACGAATTGATATGAGTAATAACCACGTACGGAGTCAAATTTGTTAAACCATTTTTGACTTCACCTACTATATGTCTATATATCAGTCGTAGAATCGTATCTTCTAAAGTACAAATAGTAAAAAAATAAAAAATTATTTGAGATTATATAAATGAATTGTAAATTTTTAGTTGATAACAATGTGCAATTAATTTGTCGATGAAGCTAAGGAGAGGATCTACTGCAAAGTACTGCAGAAGAAGAATCTAATCTCCTCTTCTATTTTTTTTCGTTTAATTTTTTTATTTTAAAAAATCAAAATAATCCATTTTGAGTTTGTGTTATTACCGTGCAAGTCACCACGTGAACTCACTTCTTCATCTCAGGAGAGAAGAGGGCCCACTATGATTCTCCGTATCCAAATGTGGACCCTACTCTTTCACTACACACGTGTGACCTCATCCTCTCCCACTTGAATATCCACGTGGCGTTCTTCCGTTCCGTTTCTCCCATGCCTCCCATGCCTCTCCCCATCTCTAATATAATTATCCCATCCTCTCTTCCTTTCATTAATTTTTTCAGTTAAAATTTCAGTTTTTTCTCATTTTTGTTTTCAGATAATCGGGAGATTCAATATTAAAAGTTCAGATTAATCATCAAAGTTTGATTTAAAAAAACTATATAGTTTTTTCATTTAAAACCTTTTTGGGGACCAATCAAAATGGTTGATTTGTCTAGTGCTTGTTCTTGAATTCCTAGACAACTAATTTTGCAAAAGTCAATAGTCAAATCAAAAAAGTTATATAGCTCGACATTGATAACACGTTTATTTATAACAATATCAAATTGGTTGATTCTTGGATTTTGACACTGCCAGTTTTGAATTAGTCAAATCGTTACGTAGTCGGTCTACGATGTCTTGCTGAAACGAATACATACGTGTGTATGTAATATACACTATGCAGTATTACAGTTAACATCAAAATTGACAGAGGAAAAAAAAGAGGTTAATATTAACAGTGACACGTAGAAATCACACGGTTCTTTTTTGGTTTTTGTTAAAGATGAACTTGTTAATAAGAATATGACGTGATCTTCTCCGGTACAACTCTTTGTCCTATAAATAGAGAACTCTTGTCTTCATATTCTCGACACACACGTATAAACGCATAAACTCGATAAATTTGTACGAAATTAATATTAAAACCACTCGTTATATATTTTTAATAAGATTAAAGTTTCACCCAAACCGAAAAAAAGAGGAGAATCTGTGCATGTTGCTCAGAAAATCTTCAAAGCGTAATCTGGGCTTACGTTAGCTCTCACGAACCCCCAAGGATATCCTATATATATATGTTTTTTCATTTCCCCATAAAATCTTTCATTATCTAAAAAAACATTATTATCGTATCTTTTTTTCTTCTATATATTCTTTCTCCTCGATCTTGATTCTTGTTTCTCGACTATTTATTTGATGAATCGTGAAATGACGTCAAGCTTTCTTCTCATGACGTTCGCCATATGTAAACTGATCATAGCCGTTGGTCTAAACGTGGGCCCCAGTGAGCTCCTCCACATCGGAGCCATAGATGTCGATGGCCACTTCACCGTCCACCCTTCCGCCTTAGCCTCCGTATCGTCTGACTTCGGTATGCTGAGGTCGCCGGAAGAGCCACTAGCCGTGCTACATCCATCCTCGGCCGAAGACGTGGCACGACTCGTCAGAACAGCATATGGTTCGGCCACGGCGTTTCCGGTCTCAGCCCGAGGCCACGGCCATTCCATAAACGGACAAGCCGCGGCGGGGAGGAACGGTGTTGTGGTTGAAATGAACCACGGCGTAACCGGGACGCCGGAGTCACTCGTCCGACCGGATGAAATGTATGTGGACGTTTGGGGTGGAGAGTTATGGGTCGATGTGTTGAAGAAAACGTTGGAGTATGGCTTAGCACCAAAATCATGGACTGATTACTTGTACCTAACCGTTGGAGGTACACTCTCCAATGCAGGAATTAGCGGTCAAGCTTTTCACCATGGTCCTCAGATTTCTAACGTCCTTGAGCTCGACGTTGTAACTGGTTAGTATAAAACATTCAAATTTAATTTTGAATTTTTGAAAAATATATGATTTTGTTTGAAGTTTAAATAATAAAAACCTGAAATGAAAAATAGGGAAAGGAGAGGTGATGAGATGCTCAGAAGAAGAGAACACAAGGCTATTCCATGGAGTTCTTGGTGGGTTAGGTCAATTTGGGATCATTACTCGAGCAAGAATCTCTCTCGAACCTGCTCCGCAAAGGGTAAATTTTGTGTTTTTTTTTTCTTACCAAAATCACAACCCCCGGCGGGTCCATTAGATAGATATATAACCTTTTTAGTTTTTCACTGTTTAGATGACATTTTTTTTATAGATAATAAAACCCTAAAATGATATATTATGATGACAGGTAAGATGGATACGGGTATTGTATTCGAGCTTCAAAGTGTTTACTGAGGACCAAGAGTACTTAATCTCGATGCATGGTCAATTAAAGTTTGATTACGTGGAAGGTTTTGTGATTGTGGACGAAGGTCTCGTCAACAATTGGAGATCTTCTTTCTTCTCTCCACGCAACCCCGTCAAAATCTCCTCTGTTAGTTCTAACGGCTCTGTTTTGTATTGCCTGGAGATCACCAAGAACTACCATGATTCCGACTCCGAAACCGTTGATCAGGTCACTTTCATTATTCACTTAGAAAAAGCGATATTTTCCTTTTTTTTTTATAATGATGAATATCTGGAAGGATTTAACGCTATGCGATTATTGGGAAATCATTATGAAAATTTATTTAGTTTATATGATTGAAATTTGAAAGTGGTCTCCATAGTATTTTTGTTGTGTCGACTTTATAATAATTTAAATTTGGAAGAAGCCAGAGAGGATCTACAGAGATCTAGCTTTTCCACCTGAACTTAATAATACACATATTAAAATATATCTTATTCTTCTTCTTCTGATGTTTAGTTTATCACTACCGAATTAATCATGGTTACTAATTAAGTAGTGGACGGGGCCATGGACCCACTCACCAAATAATGATTCCTCTTTCTCTACGTTAAATTTTAATTAAACCAACTCTACTGGAATCTTAACTTATCCTTGGTTTTGGTAGGCTTTAATAGCAAAACAGCTTTTTTAATTTTCCTATTCCGGATTCTGTATATTAAAAGTGGATTTTTTTTCTTTTTGTTACAGGAAGTAGAGATTCTGATGAAGAAATTGAATTTCATACCGACATCGGTCTTTACAACGGATTTACAGTATGTGGACTTTCTCGACCGGGTACACAAGGCGGAATTGAAGCTCCGGTCCAAGAATTTATGGGAGGTTCCACATCCATGGCTCAACCTCTTCGTGCCAAAATCAAGAATCTCAGATTTTGACAAAGGCGTTTTCAAGGGCATTTTGGGAAATAAAACAAGTGGCCCTATCCTTATCTACCCCATGAACAAAGACAAGTAAGTCTTAACATTACCATTGATATACTACTTCTAAATTTCTTCTTTTGAAAAAAAGAATAAAACGAGTTTTGCATGCATGCAAAGTTACACTTGTGGGGATTAATTAGTGGTCCAAACAAAAAAAGTTTGTCAAAATTGAAAAAAATCTCGACACGTGGTACATGGGAATGTCCGAAAAACGTTGTCCACATGTGCATCGAACCAGCTAAGATTGACAATAACGCCTCGTCGGTTCGTCTTTCTCTTTCTTTTTGTTTTGTGACCAAATCCGATGGTCCAGATTGGGCTTATTTGTTTTTAAGTTCCTAGAACTCATGGTGGGTGGTCCCAATCGGATTCTCCTAAACCAAACCGATCTCAACGAACCCTCCACACATCATTTATTATTACATTTATATAGATATTGTCGTTGCTGACGTATCGTAATTTGGTGTTATTGTCAGATGGGACGAGAGGAGCTCAGCGGTGACGCCGGATGAGGAAGTTTTCTACCTGGTGGCTCTATTGAGATCAGCTTTAACGGACGGTGAGGAAACGCAGAAGCTAGAGTATCTGAAAGATCAGAACCGTCGGATCTTGGAGTTCTGTGAACAAGCCAAGATCAATGTGAAGCAGTACCTTCCTCACCACGCAACACAGGAAGAGTGGGAGGCTCATTTTGGGGACAAGTGGGATCGGTTCAGAAGATTGAAGGCTGAGTTCGATCCGCGACATATACTCGCGACTGGTCAGAGAATCTTTCAGAACCCATCTCTGTCTTTGTTTCCTCCGTTGTCTTCTTCGGCTTCATGGTGACAAGACAAAACCAAAGGAAAGTAGTAGTTGAGAAATATTCTTCCTGATGTATATATATGACCTAATAGAGAAGCATCAGAGAGATTAGGTTGGGTCTTTTGTTAGTAGGGGTTTAAAACTTAGAGTAGAAGATTCAAATTAGTAATTTATTGTGTTGTTTTTATACATCACGGATTTTGGAGATGGGTTCGGGACAGCTTGAAGCCTTGAACCCGATTAAATTTAAAAATAGACAACAAACCTCGACACTGTTTCTGGTTATTTAACATTTGTTTTGGTCAAACGAGTTTCATACTTTATCGTCGTGGAACCACCATCGCGTCTCCTTTGGAGATCTTCCATTCTTACAATTCTTCACATATCGATCATTATCGGTTGGTCGTTGCTGCAACAAAACCAACCAAGTAAGAGGAAGGTTCAGCTTTGTGGAAGAACAAAGAGAGTATAGTTTACACAATGGTTACGAGCTGTATGTACCTTTTCAGTCGAGCTTGAGAGCATGGAAAGGATGCTGATGCAGATAGAGCTAACCGTCATGGCTGGAGACCACGAATCATACAAAATATCTGCAAAAATGATACACAACATCAGATTCTTCTTCGGTGTGGCCTAAGTTTAATAATAATAATGCGCTAATGAAATTTGAACAATAAAATGCAGGAAAACACGCCAACATACATGTTTCTCAACACTGATCATATGATCTTATGGATATGAGTGTACCGTTGTATCTAAAAGGCAAGCTCAAAGAATATGAGTATTGAAGAGGGTCTTATTGTCGGGACATAATCCGAATGAGTTCCGGAACACATGGAAGCTGTGTGTTTATCACTAGGATTATCTTATACCGGACAAAAGATATTAATGATCATTGACATCTCTCATCAAGCTTCAGATGAAAGCAAGTAAAACAAAAGTGATAGATAATAACAAAAAGAGCAAGAAGTGTATCACAAAGCAGAGGACACACACTGGGGTACCTAAACAAATATGCCCATTGCTATAAATGTGAGGATGCAGAGGAGCTGGATGAAGAAAAATCACCTGTACATATGGAAAAAAAATCACAAAAACAGAGAACTGAAGTCAACTCGAGACAGATCAAAACTATTCCATGACAAGGCAGAGACCAAACTCGAGAGAGATCAAGAGAATCCACGATAAAGCAGAAACCAAACTTGATAAAGATCATAGATTCTATGATTTATCTAAACTAAGAAGTAGTCATTACAATTTCAGAATTCAGAACACTCACTTGTGGGGATTCCATAGGATAATGCTCTGGAAAATCAACTTGAAGCTGATATGTTTCGTTGGCATATAGAGTTCCTGGAGCTCCAATAACTTCAATAATCCATCTGCAAACCCATGAATTTCACATCACAAACTCCTAAACCTTATATGATTCGATTCTCAACAAGAATAAAGTAACCTAAATTACCTTTGGAGATTATCAGTGACCTTGTGTTTGAAACCAGTAGGTGGATTCATCTGCCATTCAACAAGCTCTTTCTGAAGACGATTAGTCGCGATCTTACTCAGAGTCTACATACACACACAGTTTCCCAAAGTAGACAGTCAAAAACCCTAATTCCAAAACCAAAGTCAAATAAACAGAGCAAATGAGAGAGAGAGAGAGAGAGAGAGAGAGAGAGAGAGAACCTTGCGAGAAGGAGCACCAGAACTTGACATGGAGAGACCGAGAGAGTAAGGAGATGATCAAAATCTTCTTGGAGAAGAAGAAGAAGAAGAAGAAGAAGAAGAAGAAGAAAGGAAGGCTCGAGGAAGAATCGAAAATCGGATGGCTCAGATTTGTGGGACCTTTCTGATTGAAGAGATCTTAATGATCAGATATATTTCAGATCGGAAGGTGGTATCTAGGGACGGTGACGATTATGCCACGTGTACTATTGTGGTTTTAGATCCACGACCGTTTCGTACTTTCGAGTTGAGTTGTGTCAGCGATGCAGCCAGGATCGCTGGATTTTTCCTGCGTGAAACGGTCCTAGGGTATAATCGTAACTTCCGACATTCTGTGTGCGTTACCAATTTTCATTTCCATCATCACTAACACAATATTTTTTTATATAAATCTTATCACGAAATTATTTAAAATTTTCATGTAAAATAAAAATATCAAAAGAGAATTTATTTTTTGTTATCAATAGACTATAGCTCAACCGATGAATCAATTTTTCTCGAGAAAATACCAAATTCAAACATCGAAAACAAGAAAAAAACTAAATTAACTTGTTCTTGTTTCTAACTCGAGGAAATTATGGATTTACGTCTAGAATTTTTTTGGTTATAAGAAGTCTATAGTATATTTCATTGAAAACTATTTTTTTCCTTTTTGATTTTATGATAACTCTTTGTTGATCAAAATGAATAAATGATCATTGATAGAAGCTACGGATAGGTCAAAAGTCGAAGACTCGAAGGCCCATTGGATGTGTTGTAGCAAGTTGATATGTAAAGAATAAAAAGCCGAAGCAATGTCCTGAAGATCTTTGCAGTGTCTTTTCAACATCTACGAGTTGTCCTAATTCGCAGCTACTATCAAATAATAATATATACGCATACTACTCCATAAAGTTTTCATGCTCCTTTGCCTTTATTGTTCTGAGTTCAGACGCAGACAAAATCTCTGAAATTCCAATAAATAATAGCAATCATGAAAATTAATAAAAGACTCTGATTGAGCCAAGAGTTTCCCCTTTTTACCAATTTTTGTACGTTGACATTCAATGAGGTAAAACTCTCATGAAATTGAAATCTTTGTACAAACATGTATTTACATGAAAAATTAAAACATTTTGTAATTGAAATTTATTTTACTTTTGTAGAAAAAGATAGTGCATATGTGATATCAGAGTGTTATTAGATTATTTATTCCCCAAGGCCCAAGCCCTAATGAGACTCGTCATTGGCTCCATTAAAAACTCTTAATCCTCTTCAACAATTAAAACTAGGCCTGGGCAAAAAACCCGTACCCGAGTACCCGAACCGGAACCGACCCGAAAAACCCGGTTCAGGGCGGGTACGGGTATGTAAGTTTTACACTGCTGGGTTCTATTATTACTTACCCGTGGGTATCGGGTCGGGTTCGGGTTTTACCCGATACCCAATGGTGTAAACCGAAAACCCGATTAGCTTAGGTTTTAGTCTCAAACCCATTTAGCTTCTTCGCTTCCTGCCTTCCTCCATTCCCGCCGATTCTTCGCTTCCTCTATTCCTCTATTCCCGCCGATTAAAAACCCTAGTTCTCTACTCTCTCATTTACCACAGTTTTCATTTTCGATTCAAACCTGGAAACTCAAACGACAAACCCCACACCGTCTGTGGTCACTTCTCCACTGTCCGCCTTGTCGAGAAACCTTTCAGAGGTAATTTCCGGTTTCACTAGTCCATGATCTCTCTCTGATAAGTTTTGGTTTAGGGTTTTACAGATTGAAAACGATGAAGAATCGATTTTCCTTTTGTGTTTTTTGAGATTTAATGTTGTACTTGTAATGTTGTACCTGTTGGAGTTGAATTGATTTAGCTTTAGGTTTTAGTATAAAATTGATTTGAATTCACTGCAATTTTGTGTTTATGGTGCTAAAAAGATTGAGAATTGTAAGAGACTCACATAGGCTTTTAGTTTCAACTCTCAAGTCTCAACACTGTTTGTCTTGACTCTTGATTTTAATCGGTTTTGACTCAGTCTCTGTTTTATTTTGCGTCTTTGGTTTGATCTGTTTTGTCTCAACACTTTTGTTACTTATGTCCTTAATGAAGAAACCATGTGAGCTTCTCTTCTTCTGCTTGCTTCTTCTTTCGTCTTTTTCATTTAAACTAAGAGAAAAGTGTTGGTTTTCTCTGTTTCATTTTGTGTCTTTTTTTTTATCTGTTTTGTCTCAACACTTTTGTTACTTGTGTCCTTAATCAAGAAACCATGTGAGCTTCTCTGCTTCTGCTTGCTTCTTCTTTTGTCTTTTTCATGTAAACTAAGAGAAAAGTGTTGGTTTTCTTTGTTTTATTTTGTGTCTTTTTTAAATCTGTTTTGTCTCAATACTTTAGTTACTTGTGTCCTTAATCAAGAAGCATGTCTTTTTTAAATCTGTTTTATGTCACAATTTGAATTGTGAATGACACAATTTTTTTTGTCTTTGAATTGTGAATGACTTTGAATTGTGTTGAGTTGCAGATGGCGTCTTGTGATGAACCAAAAGATAAAAATGTTCCAATGGACCATGAAGATGATATGACAGACGAAGAGTTTGAAACTCTTACTTATAGCAAGGCAAACAAGAGGAAAGACAATGCAGGGGCAGGGGGTAGTGGTTGTAAGTCAACTAAGAGGGCAAGGTCTTGGGTTTGGGATCATTTCACCAGAAAAGAGAAGGTTGCAGACAAATGTAATTGTAATTACTGTGGGAAAGAGTTAGCGTGTCCAACCAAGTCTGGAACCTCCACGTTGAAGAAGCATATTGAAAATACCTGCAAGGCATTCCAGGTATGGAAAAGTGCTAATATACATCAAACTCAAACAGTTTTAACTCCTGATGGTTCTGGTGGTTGTGTTAGGGTTAGTAAGGTCAGTGAAGCAGTTTTTAAAGAAGCATCTAATGAGCTGTTAGTTTTAGCTGAGTTACCATTAGCTTTTATAGAGTGCTTAGCCTGGAGACATTTTTGCTCCAAAGTTCAATTGTATAAGCCTCATTCTCGGAGAACAGCTACAAGAGAGATTGTTGAGGTTTATGTCACTAAGAAAGCTGCCATGAAGAAGATTATCGAGAAAAATAAGCAGAGGCTGTCATTGACTACAAATATATGGGTTTGTCCCAATACTTCAGCTAGTTATATAGTAGTAACAGCTCACTTTATTGATAATATGTGGGAGTTGAAGAAGTTGATAATAAGCTTCAAGCATGTAGAAGATCATAAGGGTCAGACAATATGTGATACTCTTATGGCTTGTTTAGCTGAGTGGGGTATAAAGAGAATATTCTGCATCACTGTTGATAATGCTACAGCCAATAGTTCAGCTATGACCAAATTCAAGAAAGAAATGCTGCGGGTGTATGGAAGTGAAGCTTTGATACTTAAAGGTGAGTATTTGCATTTGCGGTGTGCTACTCACATTCTGAATTTGGTGGTGAAGGAAGGATTAACAGAGATTGATAGCTGTGTGGCTGCTATTCGCAATGGCATCACCTATGTGAGGTCTTCGACACCTAGACTGAAATCTTTTGATTTTAGAGTTGAAACAGGGAAGCTGCAAAGGGGAAGCCTACCTTTAGATGTCAAGACCAGATGGAATTCGACATATCTCATGCTAGACCAAGCTCTAAAGTTCTGTGTAGCATTTGAGAGGATGGAGGCTGAGGATAAACCATATAATGATTACTTTCAGGAAAAAGAGGATGGAACAAAGAGGATTGGACCAGCTGTGAGAGATGACTGGGAGAAAGTTGACAGGTTAGTTCAGATTCTTGAGATTTTCTATAAGTCCACATTGGTTCTTTCAGCTTCAAACTATGTTGCAGCTCATAAACTCTACAATGAGATAGTCTCCATTACTAGAAACCTAGGTGCATTAAGATACAATGATGATGGCCTAAAGAATAAAGCCGAGGCTATGTTAGCAAAGTTGGGTAAGTATTGGGATGCATTTGGGGAGAAAGTTGAAATGAATAGGCTTGTGATAGTGGCAAGTGTGTTTGACCCGAGGAAGAAAATGAAATTTGCTGAGTTATGTTTTGAAAGGCTATATGGTAAAGGTACTGTGGAGGCTACTCATCTTTCAGATTCAGTTTATGGCATCATCACTGAATTGTATGATGAGTATACAAGAAACAGTTTAGCTAATAAAACTGGTAGTGGTAGTGGTACTGCTGGGTCATCTACGCAGTCAGAAAATGCATGGAGCCAGAGTCAGTCTCAGTCTCAAGATCAAGGTGCAAGTGATTTTTCTGAGAGACCAGTTTTGCGTAATGGTTTTTTATATGAAAATATGGAAAACGTGTTTGATGAGATTGTGAAGGAAACAAGATTGAGCAATACATCTAATGAGGTGGACGTGTATTTGAAAGAGACTGTGGAGACTCCAGTCATTCTAAAAGGCACAGAATATGATTTGTTATCTTGGTGGAAGGTCAATACTGGGAAGTATCCGATTCTCTCACTCATTACTAAAGATATACTTGCAATGCAAGTCTCATCCGTAGCATCAGAATCCGCATTTAGCACAAGTGGTAGAGTTGTGAGTCCTTTCAGGAGCTGTCTCTCACATTACATGGTGGAAGTGTTGATGTGCGTTGAGCAATGGCTAAAATGTGAAATCCATATCAATGAAAGAGGCGTCTCCACAATACAACAACTACTTAAGGACATCACGTTGGAAGATGATCTTATGAGAAATAAGTTCTGATTCCATTCTCTTTTTACTTCTAACATCATGTTATGATATTGTGATTCTAATTCATGTTCTTTCATTTTTTTATAGAGCATGAACTAGGTGAACCAGAATTTGTTTTCAATATGCAAGGTCAAGGAGCTGATAGCTTTTAAAATGAATGAGTGAGATACAAAGGTTAGTCATCAATGTGTCCTCTCCAGTTTTCTACTTTGGCACTTCTTCTTGTCAACTTGTCTTTTTTTCTTGGATTTGAATCATGTGTATTTGAAATGTTCTATGTATTTTATGTCTTTAAGACTTTTAACTCTTTATATTTGGATGATTTGAATTGGATGTTTAAGATGTATTTAAATGCTTTAGGTTTTATTCTGTTCAATTAGAGTGTAACAGAAGAACCACAGTGTAAAAAATTTATACCACAGTGTAAACGGGTAGAAAATACCCGTACCCGACCCGAAACAAGCAAGAACCGAATTTTTCGGGTTTTTACCGGTTCTGAAATTTGATACCCGAACCGACCCGAACCCGACCATACCCGATCCGAAACCGAACCGTTATTTTTAGTTTACCCTATTGGGTCCTAGATTACCATACCCGACATACCCGTACCCGATCGGGTTTTACCCGAACCCGACCCGCGGACCCGAATGCCCAGGCCTAATTAAAACTCTTAAATCTTCAGGACTTTGGACCCAAAAACACCCAATTTAAAAGACTTAACTATTTTCTAATAACAAAAAATAACAACAATTAAAATTTGCATGTTATATATATGATTTCTTTAAAATACAGATATTACTGTTTTGAAAAGAAGTATATAAAAGTTAAAGTTAATACTTGTTGTTTGCATGTGTGTGTCTTTTTCTCTTTTTGGGCTTTGAACTTCCCCAACAAAGTTAGAAGCTCGAAAAGGGTTTGTGGATGCTGAAGCAAGATGACGAAAAAAAAAAAAAAGGATGCTGAAGCAAGATAAGAAGAAGCATTTATTCAAAAGCCTGTTGTTTTGGTGCTCAGAGGAGGGACCATATAGATTTGAAATCCCTTCTCTTCTTCTTTTTCTTGAAAATCATATTTCTTGGACAGCTCTTTATTAATTGTTTTTTCTATTTATTTGCCAGTAGGATGAGGTATAGGTAACTATTCATAGTGTTTTTGCATTGGCTCTTAGAGCAGCATTAACGGTGATATCTTAGAGATATCTTAGGATTAAAATTGATTAAAAATAATTATACCAACAAAATTAATCTAAGATTTGTATCTTAGTTAGGATGTTTTTGTTAGCTTAAGATGTTGATACGTGTCACTGTGTAACAGGTTAAAAAAACAATCAAAAGGAGAATTTTTTTCTTCTGTATGTTTTAAATTTTTTTTTTTCTGTATGTCCTTAGAGCAGAATTTTTTTCTTCTGTAACAGGTTCAAAAAAAAGATGTTGATAAATTGTATCTCATGTATGTTTTAATTTTTTTAATTTACAACTATTATTAAATTTTCTATAATTATAAATTTTATTTTTATATTAATATTTGTTTTTCTAAGAATCACATGTTAAGAACCTACCATTAATCACACAAAAATCTTAACTCAAAAATACTATCTCTTACCTATCACTTTTACAAATATATTACTTAAATATTCCTAAGATTTATTTCTAAGATACTACTAATAATCATGCTCTTACTCTCTAGGTGCTTCGTGATTTCAAAATCTTCAGTGCTTTTCTTAACACAATAATTGAATATATATAAACCTAGCTTTGACCATGGATTACCTCAAATAGTGTTTTTCAACGTCAACGATATTTTATGTGTTACCACAAATATGTATGATAATTGACGGTCTAATCGAATAATGGTCTACCTCAGTAAACAACACAAATTTCAACGAACAATTTCTTCCTTTTCAAATTTGATTTTTTTAAAGCAGTAACAGCCCATCGAAAATATGGGTAGTGTTAATTTGCTCAATTAACAAAAAGAAACAGAACTATGTTATTTCGTTAAAAAACATTTTTTGAGGCACTCTGGTTAAACTGGTACCTAGCATCAGCCTAGTGTTATGGGTTTCAAAAGCTACAAGTCAACTTCAAATTTTCAAGAAAAAATAAATAAATATGAATCTGTAATAATATATACTGATTGCTTCTTGGTTACTTATTTATGTATGTGGAGCAAAAAAGAGTAACATAACAAGAGCCCAAGAAGTTTTTCATTTCATTATTTTTCCTTTTCTCCAAGTAGAAGAAGATGGAGGAGTTTAGGGTAAGACATGAGTGTTCATCTCTCCGTGGTACTTTGTTGGATTCAAGATATGCAAAGGCAGTGCAATGCCTTGTAGAAGAAGTTATTGATATAGGTGGTAGAGAGGTTGAGCTTTGCAACAACATTCTAATCCAACAGCTGTTTCCAGGAAGAAGAAGACCCGGCTTTGGCTTGTCTTCCGAAATCAAATCCGAATTTTGCAGTTCTGGTTTCATGTCTTTGCCTGAGAATCATGAGATTCATATCAAAATCACCAAGCTTCTCAGTTTGCTGCAACAGGTTAGTCACTCTAATCTTCCAAACAATTACGAAAAATAGTCTAAATTTTGTATCAAAATTGAAAAGAGTGGTCTATATTTTCTTTTAATTAACAAAATAGTCTAATTTTAAACCATAAATTCCAAACCTTAAAGCCTATATAACAACTATCTAAAAACTAAACATTAAGTCCAAATTTTTAAACCCTAACCCATTAAACCTAAACTTTTGATCACAAAATGGTACATTTCTTTGATACTTTAGTTATGAATTTCAAGGTTTTCTCCTAATTATGCAATAATTTACTCCTTTGGTTTTTGTTTCAACATTATTTTGGTTAAATCCGGTTTACTTCCCCGGTTTATGGACAGGTAGAAGAAAGATTTGACCTGTACTGCAATCAATTGGAGCAAGTGATTTCATCATTTGAGGAAATAGCAGGAGAAGGATCATCTAAAGTATACACCGGTTTAGCTCTCCAAGCCATGACTCGACATTTCGGTAGTCTTGAAGAAGCAATAATCTCTCAGCTCAACTCTGTTCGTCGGAGTTTCATCATTTCTCATCAAGATGTTCCTAAGATCATCAGCTCTGGCTTATCACAGCTCAGCTTGTTCGATGGGAACAACACTTCATCATCCCTTCAGCGACTTGGTTTGGTTCAAGGACCACAGAGACATGCTTGGAAACCCATCAGAGGCTTGCCTGAGACTTCCGTTGCAATTCTCCGAGCTTGGCTCTTTCAGCATTTTTTACACCCGTCAGTTTTCTTGTTGCTTAAGTAATAACAGTAGTGATGAATCAAAGTGAAATGTTTGAGAAATAACATTAGTTTTGATTGTTGTAATGAAAACAGTTATCCGAATGAAGCAGAGAAGCTGGTGTTGGCGTCTCAAACAGGACTTTCCAAGAACCAAGTACGCTCCTTTGAACCTTATTCTGCTTTTTTCTGAAATTTTTGTTATCAGGAAGATCTGACTGAGATCATTTTTGTTGTTGTTGATGATCAAAGGTATCGAATTGGTTTATAAATGCTCGGGTTCGACTCTGGAAACCGATGATAGAAGAGATGTATAGAGACGAATTTGGAGATTCCTCAGATGAATCAATGCAAAGAGAAGCCAATGATGATTCAAACTGACTTACAATAAAAAAAAACAGAACAAAGTCTCGAGCCATCTAAATCGATCTATGCTTCTTCTTTTGATGAATTTGTTAGTCATCTTTATCCCTTCGTCTGTATGTTTCGATCTTTACTCTTTCCGAAAATCGGCATTGTACTGTGCACTGGACTCAAGTTTCTTCGCTTCGCCTAGTTTTGTTACAGCCTGAAAAAATGTTTTAGTATTGATCATAAGATGGAGATTGCAACAAATTGTCAAAAGATAAAAACATCACATTAAGCAGAAACTTACTTACATTGATAAAATCGTTTGGAACAACGTAATCACGCTCTGCACGTATAGCTAACATCCCTGCTTCAGTACATATGTTACGCATATCTGCTCCATTGAAACCCTGCATAAGAACAATTTTTAATGGAATGTTCTGTTTAGTTTTGCTTAACACAAACACAAGACATGTAATGTAATGTGTGACTAACCTCAGATAGTTTCACAACTTTATCGTAATCGATATCTCCATGTTTAGTTATACCAGAAGCATGAATCTTGAGGATTCTCATTCTAGAATCTCCATTAGGCAATGGAATCTCTATCTTCTTATCGATTCTACCAGGCCGAAGAAGCGCAGGGTCAAGAACATCAGGCCTATTTGTTGCCATTATTACTTTCACCTGATAATACAACAAAAGTCATGATTCATAAACTATTTTTTGCTGCTGATTTCACAACTACAAAGATGCAAGAAGAAACCTTATCAAGTTCATTGAATCCATCAAGTTGAGAAAGAAGCTCAATGAGTACTCTATCACATTCACTAGTTTTTACTTCTCCTTCACTTGATCCACGACGTCTACCAATAGCATCAATCTCATCCATAAAGATGATACAAGGCTTTAAAAACCATAAGAAGAACACAGCTTTACCATCTGGAAAACATGCAAATCACAACACGTAATAAAGCTAAAAAAAAAAACCAGAGAACTTACTTGATGATCTCGAGCATATCTAAACATCTCTCTCACTAACAATGAACTATCTCCCAAGTATTTGCTTAAAAGCGCGCTAGAAACAACCGTCATAAAAGTCGAATCGATGTTGCTAGCAATTGCTCTAGCTAACAGTGTCTTTCCAGTTCCAGGAGGTCCATAAAGAAGTACTCCCTGTTAACATAGGTCAACACAATAAATCTGTTTCTTGCGGAAAAATCAAAATCAAAACAACAAATCAATCCGAACCTTGGGAAGCTTGACACCAACTCGTTGAAAAACTTCAGGATTTGTGAGAGGAAGTTCAATGTAATCTCTTAGATCTCTGATTTGTTTAGATAAACCGCCAAGATCTGAGTATCTAACATCGCCACGATACACCATATTATAAACCAATGGATTAACCATAGGAGGGAGAATTCTCATGATCGTCAACGATTTTTTCTCAAGAGTAACTCTGGTTCCGGAAACTAGCTTTGATTGATCCACTTTGTTACAGCAGTTCACTACGTAACGACCTCCATCGTTTCCTTTCACAATAACTGAAAATTGACTTCGTAAGAAAAAAAAGTGAATGATCTTGAAAAAACACAAAATCAAGAAAAAATGAGAGAGGGAAGAAATTTACATCGTTTTTTGTCTAGAGGTTTCACAATTTCTCCAATCCTTTCCACACGAGTAGTGGTAAGATATTTGAGATCGTCTTCAGTTTCTTTAAACTCTTTCTTTAAAGCTTCCAATTTCTCCATTGCTGAATCAGAAAACACGAGTGTCACAAAGATTATACATACAAGGCAAGATTTGGGTTTAGAAGGAATCTGGACCAGTTTCGAGTTTTTCTTGGTAGCTCTTGCGAAAACCGAGCTCAAACTTGTACATATCAATGAAGTTGCGTCTCCTCTCTGAGTCTTCCTCTCTGTTGTCTTCCATGGAAACGAACCTTTGAAGTATACAAAGCAAGAGAGCGATTCTGTGATTTTTTTTTTTGTTTCTTTCTCTGCAAGTAAACAGTGAAGAATCTGTTATAATTCCCGTCGATTTTCACAACTGAAATAGTAAGAACTTATTTCTGTTGAATCCCGCTATTTCTCATGTATTCGACTTTTGACCCATACGTTTTAGTTTTATCAATTTAATCCCTGGAGATTCATACTTTATATGACACAAGACTTCGCCGGCACTTTAACTTCAGGTTGCAGCAATAAACTGATATCAAGTCTCAACTCGTATTTCGTAATTAAAAAATCATCATACACAAACAAAAAAAAACTTCTCTTTGGGTAGTATTTGTAATTTTCTTTGAACAGAATAAATTAGAGGGATCAAGAAACATTTTCGCATTCATGTTTAATGATCTCATCTCATCGTAAAGCACGGGCCTTTGCGTGTTGCAAGACTTCTTTGAGTACCGAAGCTATTCGATGTGACATATGATGTTCCAAAAACATCTCCTTTACCCTCTCATACCCATTGTTTCCCATTGTTAGCCGTAACTCAACTTGCATTGCCAATTTCACTATGTTCTTAGCGAGAGGTATCACTCCTTCTTTCCCTGCACTATGTAACAGACCGGTCGTTCCATTCACTACAATCTCCATTGTTCCTCCGGCTGCAGTGCCAAGTACAGGTAGCTTAAAGGCCATGGCCTCGATTGTTATTCTCCCAAAGCACTCTCCTCTGGCTTGGGAGTTCTGGACAAGAACGTCTATGGCTGCTATATATGGCGCTACGGTCAGAGTTTTGTTGACAAAGTGGACAAAGTTCTCAAGTTTTTTTTCTTGGACAAAATTGCGTAGCTCTGTCTCGAACTTTGTCTGCCGGCTCATGTCACTCCCTACTACTACTGCATGCATTGTTGGTACCTGAAGTTTCTTCTCTTTGATTATTTCAAGACTTTCGTGGAATGCTCGGAGGAACAGGTCCTGGCCTTTTCCACGCGATACACCTGAAAATAATAACAAACTAAGTAAATTCTTTGGTGACGAGTGAACTCTTACTCCTTAGAAGATGATGATGCCCGTCAGAAAACTGAGAACAAGAAAGACTTAAAAAAAGATGGCATACTATTGATAATGCCAAACAGTAAGTCTTCATTCCGCACTCCAAGAGATTCTCGGACGTGCTCACGGAGAACTCTCTTGGCAACACTATCTTCAGCTACTTCCATCAAATCCTTGCTATTTCCTAGGTGCACAACGTAAGTTTTAGGCATCTTAATCCTGTAATCCAACAGTCATAGAACAATGTTAAGCTATAAGAAGAAGAAAACACTCTGCAGAAATGTCAAAGATGGAACCGGACCCTAAGCGAGCTTGAGTTCTGTTTTGCCAGTATTCAGCTGTTGCATGCGAATCAATCATAGCCCCTGCAACAAACGGGAGGTGTTTGACCAAATCCGGATTAAAATAATGTCCTCTCATCTCATGAATCCACCAAAGGATCTTAGGTAGAACTTTAAAAACATTTTCCTTGAGAACAGCATCCAGCCATTTCCCAGCCACAGCAGTATTAAGAACAATCAAATCAGCCTTGAGAGCTATATCTACAGCTTTCTGACCCTTTGCAGAGATAACCTGAAGTCAGAGACAACTCAAGAAGCTAAAGACAACATCTTTACAACAAATCATGCAGTCTATTGACTAGGAACTAAGAGAGAACCTGAACTCCTCGGTCTAACATCTTGTGTTCAAGACTATAGACAACTTCATCTTCTTCAAGTGGTTTCTGATTAGTGATCCAAACAACTTCAGCACCAACTCCTCTTAACAAAAACGCCAATTCCATTAAGAGCAGAGGTCCACCTTTTGTCACACAAATCAATCATCCCCTCAGAAAAAAAAGGATTTTTTCGACAACCCAGTTAAAATTAGAAATGAAATCAGCACCTGAGAGAGATAGCTCGTGGGAGACTAACAAAACGAGCTTCGATTTCATGAAAGCTAGAGGATTCGATTGAAACCTCAAGGCGCTGCTATCCACGAATTGGCCACCAACGCTACAGGATTCAAAACTAGATCTCACGAGAATCACACAAACTGTTGATACAGATAGAAACAACAAAACCATCAGTGCCCATCTCTTCTTTTGCATCGTCGACGCTTTCGCCATTGTTTCCCTTCGCTAAAGACACATCCTAGGGTTTTCAACACTCTAAATCTTCGCTAAACCCTCGTCGAACTTAGCTAATAATGAGCCCAAAATCAAAGCTTTTTGAGCAAAATCGAGAAGAGAATGGGAAAGAAATTGGATCTCTGAGCAGAACTTGTTTGAGTCAGTGATACTGAAGAAACCTTGAAAAGGAGGAATTATGTTCTTTAGAGGTTTCGCAGTTCACGCCGTTTTTGGAAGAAAATCTTGCCGTTTAGGAAGAAAGTCTTGCCGTTTCGTTTTAACCCTCTGGGCCAGACTAAAGACTAACTATGGGCTTTAAAATGGCAATTATATATGTTCACTAACATAGAAACTCCTCTATGATTGACTAATGAAAGTTATTATATATGACTTTCAAATCTCATGCACTGAACGTTGATTTATGTTTTGAAAATGTATTTTTCACCAGTCGAATCAATCTTTATGGCATGAACAACAATCTTTCACCTATTTGTTTGGATCACACAAAACATTATGATCGTAAATTGTGGATCTTGCGTACATAATTTCTCAAACACTAAAAAGATAGATATTTGAGTGTAACGCAAAAACAGTGGCTTCTTCCGATAGTACTACTAGTATACCATTCTCAGCAAAACATTATGTAAACTAAGACAAAAATAGGTAAATTACAACTAAGATTATATTTTGTGTTAGTGCGGTTTTTTATCAAATAAAACTCAGATTAATCTGTAAACTATTGGATTAATGCGGTGACAGAACATCTAAGCATTCTATAAACTCTTATGTAACAAAACTCATACAAATCTGTTAACTATAGACTATAGTATTACTGTTTACTGGTGAACATCTTAATTAACCATACCATAAACTCTTACATTGTTGCCACTTACATGTAGACCAGATTAGCTCTTGAAAATAAGAAAATTCATGTGGTTTAAACGGTCCGACTATTTATTTTTAACAACTGCGATATTTGTCTTAAGGATATTAATTATTATTAGCTGTCATAATATATATATATATATATATAGCTAGGTGTACAAAAAGATGTTTGTCCAAACAAAAGCTGTTGATTTCTTACTCGTCATTCCCTCATTTAGCACTATCATCATCACTCATCATCAATTCATCACCTTCTTCGATATATATTTATAATATTATTACTCATCATAATTCGCTTTAGAGAACCACATTCATTTAAACTATTTTAGAAAGGTAAAATATTTGCCCAAAAAAAAAAAAAAAAAAGGTAAAATATTTGATCCTTTCAAACTTTTTTATGTATAGTCCCATATTCAAAGGTAAAATATCTTACGGTGTACCAATGTACATGTAAACAAAAAAAAACAAATAATCCACTCATATATAAAAACTTAAAATAATTTGTTGTAACACATTGATTCCCCTTGAAAGGCTTGTGTCGGCTGTTCCAATCTATGACAAAACCAAGACTCAACCAAAAACAAAAACAATAAAGAATAAAACAAAATGTACAAAAATGAAATTATAATAACATTTATTATTTCTTTTTATGTTATGTTTGTTTTGTGCAAAGAATAACATTTATTAATATCGGCACAAAGCCGTTAGCTTCGTTCCATTAACGAACGTCTACAAAACAAATTGGCGTCCAAGTCTTTCGTTTTTGGCCACTTTCACCAACTTCGCGTCGGACACATCTACCTTATTTATTTCATTTTTCATCATCTTCTTTCAAATTCTACTTTTTCTATTATTAATTACCCAACCTCCTTAGATCCTTGGGACAAGGAATCGACCCATCATAACTTTCTTTTCATTTTATTGTTTGCGTATAAAATCTCTTCATGTCAAACGTATTATATATAATCACTTGATTATTTACAAAAATATGTTTTGTTGTTAGTCAAATAATTGGATTTTTTCGTTACAAGGAAGGAAATTGGGTAGTCAGTAGTCACCAACTGGTTGTTAAGGTCCTTTAATCCCTCAATTAAGCAATTGAGCAGACACAACACTTCTTCCTCAAACCAACATTTCTAGCAAATCAAATTCTTTAAGGCCTAGGGATAGTTCTGTAATTTTAATAACTTTATATTCAATACAGTATATTAATTTGTTGACATTTCTACTTATCTATTTATTTTTAATTATGTGAGAAAATAGGAAAATATTGAAAAATGGAGTTAATTAGTTTCCTCCTTTGCACGTCACTTAATAAGAGTATGTGTGTCCGATGTATTACGCGAAGAAACACGTATATAACGTATAAACAGTAGGAGACCTCAAAAAATGTTTTTGTTTTTGTTTTATAAAGACCTCAAAAAATGCTTGTTTGATGTTTTATCACACAATATTTATAGAGAGTTTTATCGTTATAATAATTTAACAATTATACATCAATAGATCATAGATTAGTTATGAAGTTGAAGTATCATGTCACACGTAACACATGTTTCTCGTTCGCTTATAATCAGGGATCTGCAATTATGTAAGAAATTAATTAAAACATACTGTCTTTGTTGGTTCAGACTAACTCGTGATTTTATCAGCACCCACAACTAATTTGAGATGCTTTAGTTAAATTAATCTATCAAGCTTTGGTGGAAAATTTTAATAGTAAAACAATTCAGCGGTTGCTTGAATTTATGTCCAAGCTATTAATTAAACTTTACAAAAACAAACAACACGAAAACTCAACTCTTTTCTTCATTTTTAAAAAAATATTCTTTTATTTTTTAATTCTATTTATTTTAATATAAGCACCAAGTCAAGTCAATGACAACACAGTATTCGTTCTGGTTCCAATAATATTCTTTTGTTTTATCAGATTAACTTGAAATATAAATTCATATAAAAAATCGTATTTGTAAGAAAATATTCTCTATTATCTAATAAATCCTATCAGAAAATAAATAGTTTAAATGAAAATTTCCGCTCACGCGTGGTATTCTCTAAATGGTTGGCACAGAAAAAACCAACAAAAATTAATATAGAAGCTTCGGTTGGAATTAAAAAACGAAAAAGAATTACTGGTAGAGATTGTCAAATTTCTCCATAGGTTAGTGATACACTGATATTTGTTAAACAAATTATTAATATTAATTTAAAAATCTGGGTTTGTTGTCGAGGTTCCAATGATAAGATGGTTTGGTTCTGTTCTTTGTTAGTGAAAGCCAAATAAAATTTTAAAAATGTTGATTTAATATTTATAAAAAATCGTCTCTTGGGATTGGGTGTCTTCTCTTCTCTTTCTCTCTCTTTTTGTCATCGACTGTTCCAAGTTCTTCTTCTCCTTTTTATCTCTGTTCCCTGATTCAGCCACATCCACAACATCTCTCTCTTTAGGGTTTTAAAAGTTTATCATATCTCTCTCTCTTTCTCAGGTTTTGATTTTTCTTTTTCATTTCTTTAACTATAATGATTCGATTGTTCTTAGTAGTTTCTTGATTCAAAGCTATGATTGACTTTGTACTCTGTTTCTTTTTAATAAAAAGATTTCCTTTTTAGATTTTTATCATAATCTTCTCTGTTAATTCTCATGAAAGTATGAAATCATCAGAACCCAAAAAAAAAAAAAAAACTTTATAGCTCAATCTTTCATGTTTTCAACATCATCCTCTGTTTTTTTTTTTGTTTGCGTCACTGAATTGAAGTGGAAAGTTTCATCTGTACAAAAGATTAACTAGGGTTTTGATATCATCTTTACCTAAATTGGGGATTTCGTGGTTTCATTTTTTCATTTCTTGAATTCATCTGTTATTGCGGCGTATAAGATTACGATGTTTTAACATCTTCAAAGAATTGTTCTTTTATTATCCACAAACAATTCAGTTTCAAACTTACACGTCTCTCTCTCTCTCTCTTTCTCTTTTCAGACAAAACATCAATCGGATGAAACTCACTTAAACAACAACTTTTGATTGTAATCCAATGGCTGTGTATTACCCAAATAGTGTCGGCATGCAATCTCTCTATCAAGAATCCATTTACCTCAACGAACAACAACAACAACAAGCTTCTTCTTCCTCTGCTGCATCTTTCTCTGAGATTGTTTCCGGCGATGTTCGAAACAACGAGATGGTATTTATCCCACCAACAAGCGACGTTGCCGTCAACGGAAACGTAACGGTGTCAAGTAACGATCTAAGCTTTCACGGTGGAGGGCTTTCTTTAAGCCTTGGTAATCAGATCCAATCAGCTGTCTCTGTTTCTCCGTTTCAGTATCATTACCAGAATCTTTCAAACCAATTGAGTTACAATAATCTTAATCCTCCCACTATGTCTGATGAGAATGGGAAGAGCTTGAGTGGTCATCACCAACAACATCATCACTCTGATCAAATGATACCTTCCTCTGGTTACAACAACAATGGTAATGGTGTTGGTTTCTACAACAATTACCGTTACGAGACATCAGGGTTTGTGAGTAGTGTTCTGAGATCTCGTTACCTTAAACCAACACAGCAATTGCTTGATGAAGTTGTTAGTGTAAGGAAAGATTTGAAATTGGGGAATAAGAAGATGAAGAACGATAAAGGTCAAGACTTTCAAAATGGGTCGAGTGATAACATTACAGAAGATGAGAAATCTCAATCGCAGGAGTTATCTCCTTCAGAACGTCAGGAGCTACAGAGCAAGAAGAGCAAGCTTTTAACAATGGTGGATGAGGTAAGACTAATCAAATTTGAATACTTTGAAGTGAGGGAGAGACTTTGGAATTTTGAGTTTTGAAACATTTTTGCAGGTAGATAAAAGGTATAACCAATACCACCATCAAATGGAAGCTTTAGCATCGTCTTTCGAGATGGTAACAGGTCTTGGAGCAGCTAAGCCTTACACATCGGTCGCTCTGAATAGAATCTCTCGCCATTTCCGCTGCTTGCGCGATGCGATAAAAGAGCAGATTCAGGTAATCAGAGGGAAGCTTGGGGAGAGAGAGACTTCTGATGAACAAGGAGAGAGGATACCGCGTCTTAGGTATTTAGATCAACGGTTGAGACAACAGAGAGCTTTGCATCAACAGCTTGGAATGGTTAGACCAGCTTGGAGACCACAAAGAGGCTTACCTGAAAACTCTGTCTCTATACTCCGAGCTTGGCTCTTTGAGCATTTCCTTCATCCGTAAGTTTGTTGTTTAAAAGAGAGACACTTTCTTTTTGCTCCTCATTGCTTGTTTGATAACCATTTCAAGATTTTTGTTTTTGTAGATATCCTAAAGAATCAGAGAAAATCATGCTTTCAAAGCAGACAGGACTATCGAAA